GTGCATTTGTTTTTATAAATACTGTAGTTTAACAAGGTTGAGTCAGGCCCTCTGGACAAGATCTTTGTTAAAAGATTTTGTTCAGTTGTTTGTTCAGTCTTCTTCAGACTGAATAAGTATTTTGGACAAAAGACGAAACATTTCAACAAAGACGAACTTGTCCACAGGACCTGACTCAACCTTGTTAGATTTATCTACCTGGATTATTGAGCATCAGGTTCATTTAGAGTGGGTTGTACTTTTTCCATTACATAACAAAATTAGAATGAAAATAGACTGAAAGACAGAACTGAGAAGATTGGTTGTCGTTTTTGAAACTGTCAAAAATAAAGAATGTTGTATAAATTGATTTTACATAAACAAATCAATAAATAAACTACTCTGGGCTCTTGCACAAGGCCCTTAACCCTCCCATCTGCTCCCCCGGGCACCCTAGATAGCAACTCTCTGCTCCACACAGAAGGCTGTGGTAACTCGGTGGTCTGTGATTGCTGCAGTAAGGACATCTGGCATAAAAATAATTGCCAAGTCTTCGAGTGAGTTGGTTGGATATGGTTACCACTGAAGAAGTAGCTAAAAGAAGAAACATTGATAAATATTAGGGGTGCACCGATTACAGTTTCCTGACCGATTACCGATTTCTAAAAAGTCTGACCTGCCGATTCCGATTTTGGCCAATACCGATTTTGTTTTATAAGCGACACTGTCAGGCGTTATAAGGTCACAATGCACCTTCAATTTTCCAATATTATTTTATTGAAAAACGTTTGTTACGTACTGTAACCCCAGATTCTATGAGTATAGGCGTAGCCCTTTAAGAGCTGTCGCTTATGCCCCTTTTCCATTAGTACCAGTACGGGCCGGTACAGCACGGCTCTACTCTACTCGGTACGGTACAGGTTGTGTTTCCATTATGCTTTCAGTACCGGTTCCAGTGGGCGGGGTTCAAATTGACGTCACCACCTCTCACCAGCTGGTGGCGCTGAGATGCAGAAACTGTTTTCAGTACAGGTTGAGAATTTATGTTATTTTTGAAGTTGTGCATATGTATGTGTGTATGTACATGTGTATAAATATATATATAGATATATATACACATATATATCTATATATATTTATACACACACACACACAAATATATATGTACACACACACAAATATATATGTACACACATATGTGTATATATATA